TTTCCAGTGTGAAATTTTACCGTCACCATACAGCACCACAATTCGATCACCACATACAGCAGTATCACATGCGTCCTGCAACTCACTCAGTTTAGGACACTAATAAAATATAGAGTTTGGGCACAATAGTTTTGACAGGCAGGTAGGGGGCACGATTTGGGGAGGAGGGTCTCAACAGTATGCCACTCAAAGTCCGAACGCCATAAAACCTTCAGTCCAAGTGCCATTTAGGGAAGTGAGGCTTTGAAAAGCAGCCAATGAGAATACGAGTTTGCGCGTCTGTTTTCTCGCTGAACGCTGCCAGTCATGAGAGCGCCACCTCCTTGGGCATGAGGATCCACAGCGCAGGCACCTTGTCACACGGCATAAGCCACTGTTTGAACAAAACTACAGCAAAAATACACAGATATACACCGAGATATGCAATTCCCTTATTATATAAATACCTTTACCAAACCTTAAACATAGTAAAACAAGCTCAGTCTTCGTTATACAACGCATCCACACACAAACACATCCGTTACAGCCTTTGTGTCAGTCTCTGTTCTGAATCACCGCCCACTGGAGGAGCTGTAGCCAAGGTCATTCCGATTTTATATCGTTATAAATTAGAAATCAATACGCGTAGAAAATGTTACTGTAAAATGACTCCATATTTATGACTACTACAATATACGATATCTGATCTTCTTGTATATAAAGCGTGTATTACATGGAGTTAGAAACCTTCCGCTGAAACACAAGACGTGGCGCCTCATGATGATTTACGTCATCGTAAACCGGCCTAATGACAGCCATCATGGCTGCCTGGGTTGGGTAATGCTGATTCAAAACAAACCAAATACTACCATACACTCTGACTTATTTATCCAGGATTTCAGGAAAAGTTAAATATTGAAATCATAAATGCAACTTGTAGTTTGTTATGTGCAGTTTGTGATGTGCTGGAAGAGAGATGTGCATTGTAGTGGCGAAAAGGCGTTCTACTGAAATACTTTGAGGTGTAGAGTGATGGCTGGAAGGAGGAGCGTGGCGATGATAAATCAATCACGGGACATTTCAGTGAAACTCCCCATCACAGAAGGCATAAAAGTCAGGGACAGGGAAAATAACTTCAAAAAATCAACAGTGCAAAATTTAATCCTGAATTGTTTATTTATGTGTTAATTTTCGAAAATAATAGGTTTTAAACAGAGGATTTTTTTTAAAAAAAATCCTTACTTCGAAGGAATATTATTTTCTGATTTCAAAAAGTTTCAGTCAGCCAAATTACACTGTTAGAAACGTTTCAATAACAGAATTACTGCATTTTTCATATTTTATATAAAGCATTGCTAGATATTTATTGGGAAAGTTATTGTTTATGTGCTAAAATTTTACGTATGAATGATAACATATGACATTCTGTAAGATCTCATTATTTATTACTCAATTCAATTTTACTCTTCATTTAAAAATTGTTTCTATTACAAGAATTGCATGTTCGTGCCACCATGCGGTAGAACTATATAGTTTCAGCAATTTCTTCGGTAGATGGCAGACGCCTATAGCTCCGCTTTCAGTAACTCGATCGATATGGTAGCTGCCTCTTTATCTACATACTCGGCTCGTATCCAGGAAGTAGGGGGACAGCATGTATCCGAAACGTTAGTATCTAAGTACGAGTGAGTGCACATGGTGTGACAATCCAGAAGGATCTTTAGTGCCGTGATATCTGCAATAACTGAAGTTTACATAAAACGTTACGGACCACACGCGGGATAAATTCATTTTTTATTCAAAAATTATTTGTTTTTCTCACCTTCAGGTTTTCACACCAAAATGCACAAATTTTTCATGTAATCCATCCGTGTTATATGCACATTCTTGTTTAGTTGGTTATTCTAACAATATTTTGTTAAGAACGCATTATGAAATATAGTGTATTTATAATTGTATTAATAAAATAAAACAGACTTAGGAAAAGAGAGTGAAACATTAAAACGCTGTAATGTTCGTGTATTATTTTAATGGAATTCACGTACATGTATAATTTTCTTCCGTGTTGTTTAAGAGGTGAAACTAATTAAGAACATGCATATATTGCTGAATCGTAGTCTTTTCAGCACCTTGAACAGAAGAATTTTAGTCTGTGCTGTCGACCTTAGCACGTATGCACTCTCTGGATGCCTGGATAATATTAACGGACTCGTTGATGGCTTTATCCTGGACATTGTTTGTGCATACTGTGAAGTCCGCAGTGAGTTTGGGAATGTTGGCTTTGAAGTCAGCCATCTCACCCAGGATACCAGCCATCAATATATCTCTGCCAACGAGCACCTCGTAGCCAACGACATTCAGACAAGATGACAAAGCTTTCACTGCTTTGTACTCGTTGTCACAGGCCGTCACGTTACCAAGAGCGATCTGAGAGCGACTCTTGGCTTCCTGAAGCATCTGCTTCAGATTCAGATGGTACGGCTGCAGAACAAGAGATGCATTCTGAAGACAGATCGGGATGCCTGTTGCTGCCAAACAAAACGAAAGTTAATTTATTTATAACACTGCAAAATATTTAAGGCAGTATTTATAACCGCGATTCGATGGTAAAAATGTCAGCAATGAAACCAACTGCAGAATGGCGACCAAAGACAGGCTGAACCACGTAACCTGAGATCTTATCGGGTCACCTAATTCCCCGACAGCAACGCGACAGAAATACGAAGGAGATATGGAGCCGGGTATAGAATGCATTCCGATTTATCTCCAAGCTCCTTACACACCGTCATGAGTATGTCGAGGCGGTTGACGATTCGTAGGCGTATGCCTCAGTTAACAGACGAGTACTACAGATAACACTTACCCGCCTCCTGGATCATGGCTTGGTACTTCTGGTCGTTACCATCCTCGCAGGCAGATACGTCGATGTCCGGAGGTTTTATGGCGGCGATAGCAAGTTTGGCTTCTGTTACCAGAGCCAGAAGACCTTCCGGGTCGTTGCTCTGGATCTGCAAAGCCTGAAGCAGTTGACTGCCATCGTTTTCAGTCTTCGTTACCAGACGCTTGAAGTTGCTTCCTAACTGCTGAATTTGATCTTCAGCGTGTTCAGTGAGGTCTTGGATTGATCCTATTGGTTCGTCAGGAGCATATCCGAACTGAGTGGTGTCTGCACTGGACACCTGTAAAGAATAGATTTTTGCAGCTGTAAGTAACCAAGCTTCTTTGCGTTTACGTGACGTAACTTCAGGTGTTCAAAAGAAATTGCGCTTTGTATTACAGAATAACGAAATTTCATCTGTTACCCTAGTTTCATTTATACTCTTATTTATGGGTTCCTATGGATCTCTTTGTAAATAAATATCACTTTCTTAAACGGCATTAACGAACTGATCTTTGTACTCGAAGAGTGTTATTCTTTATTGCGTTATGGACTGAATTCTTAAACAAAATTTAGACAAGCTGCGGCTTTATAGAGTTTATTAAAATATAATGATTCTGCATATATTTAATTTAATTACATTTAACTTCATTATACTCTTAATGGTTCCACTGCAGAACAAAACAGAACATAACGAAGTTCACTAAGGAAATTATAGTGCATTTGTTTTACAGTTACTCACTTCTACTGAAGGATATGACTACTCCGTAAGGTACATTTCTCTTTTAAGGAAATGAAGAGTAACACTTCAATTCTGACAACTGTATCGACTGACATTATAAGGCATTGCATCAATTTATTCTTGTGGGCCTAACACCGAAGGAAATAGTTATGTTGTAAGCAAGATCAGGCACTGTAGACATTTAAATAGGCTATCCAACTTAAGCAAAATACCTGGCAACTACTTGGAAGAACAGTCTTTTGTTTCCATAGGAAATACATGATAATGTGATTTATTTTTATGCTTAATACAAGAATTTCTTGCACTTAATTTAATGTATCGAGAATAACTTATGCCTGTTGCAACACATTTTCCCTGTTGTAAAATACTATTGCAATCGTACTTACTGCACAGAATGCCATAATAGCTACAATAATTTTGGCGACCATTTTCATGTTCTTCCTCTCGTGTCCCAATATCTTGGGATGTGTTCCGCTGACAGGCTGCCACAGTTTATATATCCATATAACAACTGCGCTACAGCTGAGAAAATAATGCGCTGTTTGCTGAGATTAACAGAGCTCATTGTTTCATCCTACGCTAAAAATGTTAGAAACAAAGGGGAAAATTTCGCAATCGGAACTTGCCTGACTCCTGTCTGGTGTGGTGACAACGCCATCACGGTGATTCTCTACGAAACTTCGTTGGCAGGGTGTCTGGAACCTATCTTTCTGGGAATTCCTCCCCGTGATTTTAAGGCAACTTCTACAAGCAAAACCTCACGTAATTCTTGCAAAGAGCCTGATATTGTTGTCAACAGAACTGGAATTTGTCCGCAGATTTTAATAAAACTCATCAATATCAAATTTGATAAACAACTGATACGTGAGGTAGTATAGCTGCGTCATATTTTGATATTAATTAAAATAATTATTATATTTGTTTACCGTCAAATCACAATAAAATAGTAAGAGAAGATAATTAAAATGATTAAAATATCATCTTATGTTCCATATCGAGCATTCGATTTACATCGGAACATTCACAACATTTTTCGGTTTATCAAACCGTCATCAGGTGTAAATTATAAACTTTTAAACTCAAATTACAATTATTTATAGTTTTTACAATTTTATAATTTTATCATCTTTCTCAGTATATTTTATGGAAGTTGTGTCTAGATATTATTAATATAACATTATTGTTGAGGTGGTGTTATTGATGTTTATACCAGTCTGTGAAGTAAAAGATTCGAAAACATTAATGAAAATGATTGAATATAGAAAACAAAATGAATTAAAATAATAAATAATAGCAAATAAACATACCATATATGAAATAGCAATCGGTTCAGATGTGTTCAGAGGAGAGATCCAGAAGTGTTACCATCTCGGAACGAGGTTCGTTATTGACTGCGGTGTAAGTGGGTGAAAGGTGGTTTGTCAGGGTTGGGGTCAAGGTACTGGAGTGCATTAAAAATGGGGTTATTAAGAAAAATGTTATTGCAGTTTTCGAAGCGGACAGAATGAATCTGAAATGTGGATTTTTTTCAATTTCGTTGCAAACGCGCCCAAGACGGAGGGGAGAAGAAATACACAAAGCATTGAAAAAAGAAAGCACTTCAAGAAGAGAGAAAGAATGATTATGACACAATAAAATTTATTTAACAATCGTAGTTAATTATTTGACCTTTAAACCGGCTTTCACACATGTTCAGACTATTTACTTTAATCTCTTGAGTACGTAGAGAACATATAATAATAAATGTGGTTGACATTTTCACACATATGTTCAGATGGATGAGTTATTACACAAAGCCTACTAACACATTGTGTTTACTCGCACTGCAACAGCTGACTGTGTTTTTGAAAGTTCACAGCTCAGACACGAGAAGACTTGCGTATTCTGTGACGAGAAAGCCTATCAAACGCAAAACAAACACAGGAGTAAGAGTGGACAATACTAGCGCAAAGATTCACTCCGCCCACGATAACATCATACAGTACTTAAACAATAAATTCTTCTTCTCTTCTTATATCTTTGTCTCTCCTACGTGGAGCATAGTGACATCCCTTCGGAGGTTTCTGATCTATTTAAGGCATTTTGTAGGGACTCCTTGGACCAGCGATCAGCCCATCGCAAGGTCTCTACCAAAAACATGGGTGAGAAATGGCCGCTGAATTTGGCTCACGAAACATCTCGTTCATGCGCGTGAGGTTCTTTTACATGCCGTAAATCTACGACATGGGACCGCCAGCTTTACTTCGTCTCCGAAGGAAGTTGTGCTACGGATTTTTATCACCCTTAAGAATCCATCGAACTCGGCCGGGTTTGAACCACTGAGGGCGACTAAACAATAAATTAATAACAAAAACGTAATAATATCTAAAATTAGCAGCACTCATCCTATAAATGGTGAAAGGAATTATATAATGAGTATGAAGCAATGGAATTCTACCACTTTTCAACAATTTGCTTTTTACACAAAGGCAAGATGATACATGACGTATATGTATATATATATATATATATATATA